GAGGAACTTTTGGACAATGACGGTGACCGCAAAGGAAGCTGCAGACGATAGCAGTAACGATGGAGGAAGCTTCGAATGACAATAACAGTGGCAGAGAAAGCTGTGAACGACGGTAATAACGACGACGAAAGTCATGGATGACAACGTTGTGGGTGAAGGAAGCTTCAGAGGTGTCTATTGATGGTGGAGGAAGCTACGATCCTCTCCCTTGATGGTGGAAGGAGCTGCACACGGAAGTAGCGATGACGAAAGAAACTATGCATGATAGTTAGGCCGTCAGACCTGTTTGTCGATGACAAAGGAAGCATCGATCCTATATGTCGGTGGCGGAGGCAACAACAAAGGAAGCATTGGCGACGGAGGCAACAATTGTGCTAAAGTTTATGACTCTAGGTCGTGCGGGGTTGCGAGGGATGGGTTCTGCGAGTACAGTAAAAGAATGTAGCTTAGTTGGTTCAATCAAACCAACTAGTTACTATTCAATCGAACCAAACTTAAAAGTCTAGTTCTGTTGTTTCATTTGAGCCAAACACTCAACGCTTGGGTTCAAGCGAGTGCCCAGGAGATGCTACATTGAAGTGCGTCACCTGGTCGAGACTTGTGGTGCTCGAGCCTCGCCTCGTCTCGCCTCACCTCACCTCGCCTCACCCGAGCTCATAGGCAAGCATCCAGACGCTTATTTAAATCATTATCCTAAATAACTCATTTCCCACGTTGATAATCACATCACGTTATTTGTTTTCATGATACATACAAATTTAATCTTAAAACAACACATAAAAAATTAATATGTATCGACTCACATGAAAATCAAAATTATCATTGCTGGGTATCTAAATTAGGTCGGGTCATGATTAAGCCTTATTTGATGCCTCTCTTAAGACCGGCCAAGATATAATCAAGCTCCTTAATCATATACTTGTAACTTCAATCAAAACCATGCTAAAAATTTGTAATTAATGCATGACAACAAGGCATCGGATAGTCCAATAGAAACCGAGTTGCATGGCTATGGAAGTTGGCATGGCACTGCAAGCTTGATGCTAAGCAAATGATGGACACAACAGTCAACAGATCATATTTCTAAGCTCAGATCCAAATAGCCAAAGAAACAATCTCACCAACTCTGTAGTAAGAGGGCACAGATATGTCCGAGATTGCATCAAAGCATGTAATGCCCATACTCCATCCAGCCCAAGCCAAAATTGAAGTGACTATAAAGCAGCACTGTGGAGTTGGCAGCATCTCCTCCAGCCTAAGATGATATAAACATGATTTCAGAAGATTAATACATACTATACGAGCATAAGAAGAGATAGAAAGACAAAAAAAAAAAAGAGAAGATTTTTGTTAGAAATGTAAACAAAGATTTAAATATTCTTGAGTTGGTAAAGACACCTATTTGTACAAAATTGGATGATAGAAAACGATTCATGTCGCCAACTTCAAATATTTCGAGCGATTGTTGTTGATCGAACAAGGTTGACACTTTGGTTGGCTGCTCTATCCATCTTTCCATGCTCTAAATTGGCTTCTTCGATCAGCTACCAGTCGATCCCATCACAAAGCAAACACACTCAATTGGCCACCAACCTACATCGGATGAGATCCTCTCACCTGATGCTTCACTTATCACATTACACAAGAATGCATGCAGTCTCTTCTACCTTCTCACCCTTTTCCTCCATTGCAGTCTCCCTCCTTCCTCAGAGCTGCCTCCTCATACCCCCCACCAGTGCTGTAATTGAGCTCTTGATGGTCTCCTCTTCATCTCATGCTTTCAGTAGGTACGGCCAGCTTCCAAGTATCTCTCTCTCTCTCTCTCTCTTCTTGTCTTGATGGTGAGTGAAGATGAATGCTTTCGGTAGTTTGAATTAAGCTGGGCAACCAAGTGCATGTTGTATGCAGTTGCTGCTGCTTGTCTAGGAGCATTATCATTTCCTCCATGTGATCCACAGATCCAATATAGAAACCTTTAATTCCATGTAATCTATCATAATTGACATTGTTCATATTTTGTTTCTAGCATTATTGCAACTATGTCGGTAAGCTGAAGAGAATAGTACAGTGTCATCAATTATCTTGCTGATAGACTTGGTCTACTTAGAGACATTTTTCTTAAGCTCATTTCTTCAGTATGGAGGTATTAAGAACTGTCTTAGTCCACAAACACATTTTAATGACATGCGAAACTTTAATTAGCAGATAATTCTGCAGCACCTCATTACCTAGGCTTCTTAATTCGCGTCCAAGAAGACAGAACCTAGTTTAGTTTAGTATACCTAAGCCAATCCAGCAAGGCTAAATTGCCCTTCATAATGAATAAGGCTTCATCAAATGCAGAAAGTAATACCTAAAGAACATAAAAAGAAAATATGATGTTGTTCTAATCACTAAAAATGTCTATTTTGATGGTTAATCACTGCAAGTGAATGAGTCACTAGTTTGACCAGCATTTATTTACACACTAAATGGAGGCTTTCATACCCCCACTAAAATGATGCAAGTCCTGAATGTGGCCAACTAACATTCCATGTGTTGGATTAGAAATCCTTCTCTTAGAACTTAAATTTGTAGGTGAAAAGTCAACACCATTTTTTTTGCCTCTCTTCCTCTAGTTTTTCCTTCCCTGTGAAGAATTCAGAAATGAATTCATACAATTTTAGCATGATTTTGTGATCAGCCCAACTTCCAGTCAGACTTAACTAACAGTCTTCTCAAAGGACAAGACTTGCAACTGAAGCTGGAATTTCCAAGTGGTCCTCCAAAGCAAATGCCAATCTACATGTGACATATTTTAGCTTCAGTCTCATGCAGTCTTTTACATTTTGATTTAGAGTTATTCTTTTACATTACAAATCATTACAGCGCCTGAGCTATGAGTCTAATTTGCATTGAGTTCAAGATTTGGTCAATTTGTTTCCTTAATAACTAAGAAGTTGAACAAAGTGATGAATAATGCACAACAAAAACTAGACCAGCTAGCTTAAGATTCATTAGCACAACTATTGCTGCTCATTCTATCTTGATAGTGAGCTTTTCATCATTAATCAGTCAATGCTGCTCTATCGAGATATAGCTAATGTGCTTAAAAATATCACCAATCTGTGTGTCATTTTGATGAAGATGATTTCTCCAATATTTTCTATGTTATAAAGATTTTTATAACATACTCTTGTTCTTAGAGACCAATTACCTATCTTAGCTTGTCAATATGTGAACTAACTAATGCTAATCATGAATGCCAAATGGACAGACGGAGAGGAAAAAAATCTCACTGGTTTTATTCTCCAACAGATGTGGTTGATGCTATTGGCCAGATTAGCATTTCTAACATGATGCATTCATCTTTAATGACATTTTCAAGGAGTAGGGAGATCATGCATGATTTAATGATCCATCAGTAGTCTTGATTTATGAGTTTATGCTTCCTATGTATGAAGATAGTTGAATTCTTTTTATTTGTTTCTTTTTAGATGCTTCACCTTAATAGAGTATTCATGTAGAATTGATTCTGCTAAACCAAATTATTGGTCTTATGTATGAGATCATAATTCATTCTTGTGAACAATACTCTAGTTTTCACTGCAAAAAGCAAGCTTGAAATTGATTTACCATAGTAGTAACAGGTGCAAACTTTTCCATATCTTTACTTTTAATGCAACAGATTCCATTGTGCAAAAGAGGTTCATGATCTTTGGAAGTCTGATCTGCAAAATTGAAGATGGCTTGTTCATCAAATATCTTCTCTTATTCGTTCATTCTTTATCAGCCTCGTTAAACATGATTTCCAATATAATTTATACTTTGCTTACAAAGCTAAAAATGCTGCAGGGAAGCCAATGTCTTGATCAAATAAAATGCAGGTACCGAAAAAAAGGATTGCGAAAAAAACGATGAACATGTTGTAACTTTAAATCATATGTTTTTAATGCACTTCTCCCATAGTCAAGTGATAATCCATATAGGGCAAAACATCATCTGCAATTCGGGTTCGTTTCGCATGGTTAGTCAAAAAGATGAAAGACTATTATGTTACATCTTTGAGCTTAGCATGAGGATGTTATGATCACATCCTAATAAATACAACCGATAACATTCTGCTTAAGATATCTAATTTTGGTCTGGTTAGATCTTATTAAGGTGCTAATTCAAGCACACATAATGGTGAGACCAAACGATAGCTTATCTGAAGATTCCAACAGGAACAAGATGAACAGAAGTAAATTTCTGGCAACCTAGGAAATATGCTTGCTCTATGTACAACTTATTCCAGAAATCAACAATTACGAATCATAAGATCCAAGAGGTAGATGTAATAATGTTTCTGAAACGTTGCATATATCATATCCGATTCTTGTAATATAAATTGTTACTATGTTCTTCAAGACTGTTATTTGTCTTTAGAATTGGTGTGTTGTTTCTTTTGATTCCGTGATCTAAAATCAAATGGCTAATCCTATTACCGCAGCGGAGAACCGTGAATTCGTCAAAAAGTTGCCTTCGAGAAGAATTTTCACCCTTCCGAGATGTTTTTGCATTAGATGATCTGAACATGGCACCATCATATACCGACTAAGTTTTGTCATGCATGAATCATGGTCCTAATAGCCACTAGCTTTATGCTTTTTCCTCATGTGTTGCTTTCGGATCGATGTTGTTCTCCTCATGGATCATCCATCCCAAGGTTTCAAGTGTTTGATCTTTCTCAGTGTTTAGACATGATTTTATGCTATCTAAACCATTACACTTCTGGATTGCTATGATCTTAGATACCTACTGAATGATAATAACATATATTTTGTTCTGATGAAGGGACTTGATTTCCATATAACTGTCTATCAAAGTTCTTCCTTTCGACACAAGAATTCAATGCCTGGTGCACAGAAATGGATGTAAATGAATTGTAATCAACATGACAAATATTCAGACATTCCTTATCAAAGTAATTCCATAAACATAAATAGAGCTAGCAAGGCATGACAATTGGTGAATGATGATGCAGAAATCAATGAAATCTTTGAACGAATAATAGATTTTACAGAGAAAATAGTCATCAAAGGTTTCGAATGACATATATAAGACAATATTTGGAATCGGAACATAATCCATTGGACATAATGAACACCTTTAACTTGCTGAATTGCTATGCAACACAACACATAGTTCTCGAGATTCAGAAAAGATAGCTGGATTTACTTGCCTGCATGACCTTTGATCCAAGCTAACCAAAGTAAGTGAAGGGATCTTCCCACAGACCTTCAAACCCAAAGCTTGGAACCAGTGATGCACCCATAGGATCAAGCATCTCAACGAGCTTGTTGTTGCTGTTGCTGTTATCAGTGTGATTGTTGACAGCATTGTGATGCTGCTGCATCAAGATGTCATCGTGGATGAAGGGATCAAAGAGATCAGAGAAGAAATCAACAGTGCAGCCATCGGCTCCCTTCCTCCCTTCCTCGCTGTTCTGGCATCCCACGTTGAAGTACCCGCCGCCAGTGATGACCGGTGCTGGAGGAGCAAAAGGTGTGGGATCGGGGTTCGCGGTAGGATGACGTGGTGGTGGCGTTGATGGCAGAGTCGGGTTGGGATTGGTGGAGAAGGTGAAGGGCTTGTGAGTGCGGGGATCTATGCCTTGCTTGATGAGCTTCCTGCTGAGGTGGGTGTTCCAGTAGTTCTTGATCTCGTTGTCTGTGCGCCCCGGTATTCTCCCAGCTATCAGCGACCACCTACTCGTTCCAGAGACGGAAAGCTGAAACCCTAAGAGAGAGAGAGAGAGAGAGAGAGAGAGAGAGAGAGAGAGAGAGAAACAGAAAGAGGGAAAGGGAGGATACCGGTTGCCGAGGAGGCGGTGGAGGCGGAGGATGATATCTTCCTCGTCGGGGGTGATGGGGCCGTGCTTGATGGAGGGGCGGAGGTAGTTCATCCAGCGGAGGCGACAGCTCTTGCCGCAGCGGAGCAGCCCGGCGCGCTTGGGCAGCGTCCGCCACCGCCCCTCCCCCTCCCTCCTCACGAAGCTAGCCAGCACCTCGTCCTCCTCCGCCGTCCACGGGCCGCGCTTCATTCCCACCTTGCTGCAGCACGGCGTGGGCGTCGACACTCCCCGCCGCTGCTGCTGCTGCTGCTGCCCCTCCTCCGCAGCCAACGACCCCAAGGGATTCCTCATCTCCCTTCTCCTCCTCTTCGCCTCCTCCAGCTGATCTACTCCCGTATATATCTGTCTATAGGTTGCTGTCTTGCTGTTATTTACCTTCCTTTTCTTCTCCCCCGCCCCGCCCTCCCGAGCTTTGCAACGCATGCCGACCGCGGTCGGGACCATCAACTGGATAAACGTAATCTCTTGTGACGCACACAATATCTTATGTGGGGGCCAAACAGACTTGTCATCCATCACCTACGCCACGGTAAATATGGATCGATAACAAGCAACCGAACGCGCCGACGGACTATCATCGTTTTGCCCGAATCCTAAACTCCTGATGTAACATCTTATCATCATATAAAGATGCATAATAATAATAAGGATTCAGAATTCGTTTATCATCAGAAATAATAATATGTTTTCGCTGGAATGAGCAATGCATGCAGGTGACTCTTCGGATCCAGTTAGTTGATCTGCCTCGTCCGTTCTGCTTTGTGATCTGTGCATGCAATGCATGCAGATGTCGCCCTCAAGTTTTGAGTTCATCGAACTAACTCCCTATCATCTCTTATCTGTGCACCCTACAATTTATATGACAATTGAAGGGATTTATTTTGTTTTTCTTGTTGCGTGCTAAACAAAATAAAAGGAAGGAATAAAAAACAAAAAAGAATTGCTTTTGAACAAACAGTATTAGTGCTGTAGTAATCAGCTGATTTGTGATGTCAAAGTACTGCATCATGCATGGGAAATTTATCATTTTCATGAAAAAGATTCATGTGACCGAATGATTGATGATTATTTTATTACACCAATAAAAGTGATAATGATTGTGTTGGTACTCATTTTGCATGGTTTGAAAAATAGCTGGAGAAATATTCTTCCAATGAATATTTCATGATTTTTTTTATTTTTAGTTATAATTATTGGAGAGTTGCAAATGAAAATTACCTACAAAAGCATATTTGAGTTGTAATAAGAGAAGACTGCAAAGTTTTAATGGTTAATCACCAACAGAAGAAAATACATATAACATGTATGGAATCCTTATAGCTTACAACCACCAGTGGGTCAAAACTCTTGGAACTGATTATATAGATCAACAGTCCATCTAAAATTGCAACATTGGTTTTCAGTTGAATTAAAAGAAGTTTTTGAATGATCTTTTCCCAGTAATACTGATTGCCTATTGGACTAATCACAGCCTGCATACTTTTATCAGATTATGAAAGCTTAACATGGAGTCCACCAGATATGATAGAAATCAGTCTTGGATAAACTTAGTCCAACTCCATTTGTCACAATTATTTTACTGAAATTTATATAAGAGACAACACTAACTAACTTGATGAGAGACCAAACTTTAGTAAAGAAACTAATCCAATAAGTTTAGCACCTATTGGATGTTTATGAATTACTAGAGAACATTCAAGAGTTCTTGAGAATTTAACTATAGGAGATGAACCATTCAATTATCCAAACATACTATCCACCTGAGTGACTGTTTCCAAGCTCATTCTTTGCATGTGAAGCTGCAGGAAACTGAAGTCTAGCTTTTGTACATGACAATGCTTAAACTAACATGTTTATATGATTGAAGATAAAGTTCCATGCATGTCTCCCATTCAAACAGTGCATTCTTTTCCTCAGGAGTTTAATACTTACTACACCTTCAAGTCATTAGACCTTCCAACTACCACTTCTGCATGATAAGACCTGTTCTATCCAATCAAGCAAAAAGTGTCAACAAAAAAAGAAAGAGTAGACAAGGAAAAGAGCTAATATGATGGTCCCAGCAGTTGTAGCACATGTAAATAACATCAAGGAAAATATAATACATATATTTTTCTTACTATACCTTTGCCCTTCCGAATGCAAGTTGATGTGAACCGATCAACCAACTCAACACTTGCTTCTGAGAAATCATAATTCATGATACTTACGGGAGAGGAAGATACACATGACAGCAGGAAATTATTTGATGAACCTTTCTGCTTGCAATGGGATCTCTGATGGGAGGGAGGGCAGAGACGAAGACTATTCCTTGATGATGATGATGATGATGATAATACATACATACATATATATATATATATATATATATATATATATATGCTAATTGTGCACTATTTTAATTTTCATGGATATTATCTATTGATGATCCCTCCCTATACATTATCTGCAAATGTCTTCATAACCTCAGTTGTTCTCAACTACTTTACAATGAGCTCAGGAGAATATGAAGAACACACCCATCTCAGTGACATATCCATACATATAAAACTGATATGTTTTACCTTCAGTAACTCTCTAAAGGAAATCACTGACTGAACATTATTGGAAGCTCATAGTTGTGATGTTCTACAGTCCACTGTTAAATATGATAATTATTTGATTTTGTTGCTACTGTTTGTCTACAACATTACTTTCTGCAGCTAGAGATATTTATTTATGCTTCAATGATATGGAAATGACTGAAAACCTAGTTGGCTTCTCCTATAGAGATGAAACCTACATAGAATGGACCAGATGACTATCTCTTTGTAGGATTAATCTTTAGAGCTTATGTTTGCAGGAGATAATATGTGATTTTATTTTGTATTCACTCAATACTGTAATCTGTTTTATTCTTCTGGCACAAGAAATTTACTGCCTACTGATCCAAACACTTGCTGATATCAAGCTCCAATCATACCACAGAAGAGTGAGGTATCGTCTTCCTTCATTTGACACTTTTTTTTTTTTTCTATCCTCTGTCAATCTGCATTCTTTTCTTCAAGGACAGCAGCTTGGATCCACCTTGTCCATCAAGCTCACCAGCCATATTAAAAATATTAAGAATGCTTACCATTCATTCCTCCATTTTCTTCTATCAGGATGAAGAAATGTCAAGAAATCAGATTATTTGTGTAACATCCCTGATTAGTCCCACATCGAAAGTGGGCAAGACTAAGATTGACTTATAAGGGTCTGATGAGTGTACTACTATCAACTTCAGCTTAAGCATTTTGGTCAGTGGTTTAGACCAAACGAAGTTGATAGGCCAGTTAGCCCATCAGGCTCGGGTCATTATAATTTGCCTATACTTTTTATTACATAATAATTCTCAATCATATCGGCAAAAGATTAAAGATTAGAGATGGATCATCAGTATTGCTTATGATAATAATAAATGCTCTATTAATTCTGTGTAGGAATTGCACCAATACCTAAGTCATGGCACCTTTTGGGAGATCAAAGGACCAATTTTACTTACATAATTATATTTTTTTAAAAAATATATATTATGTTAAATGATGTACATGACCCTCACATGTATATTTGAATATGAGATCTATCACTTTGTGCAACAATATATCAACATGTATCAACAGCTACTACTTACATGATTATTAATGTCTGGTGTTGATTGTCTGCTTGTGATATGCAACAAAGAGTCTTCAATATCTACTGATCAGTTCATACATATAGGAGTACTCTGCACCTTTATTGTAGCTATCTTTACTTTCCATTTCAAACCTTCACAGATCCAATTTGTCATGAAGTCCTATAGGTTAAGGATTTCCATTAGTTTATACAGACAGAGGAAGTACTTTGCACCTTAGATCTTTACATTTTGTTTCAAACCTTCACAAATCCAATTTGTCATGAATTCATATAGGTGGAGGAGTTCTTTGCACCCTTGTTATAGATTACCTTGCATTTGATTTCAAACCTTGCAAATCCAATTTGTGATGAATTCATATAGGTTAAGGATATCTAACTATATACATTTGAAGAATTATGATATTTTCTGATCAATTAAAACATGAGAAATTTTCTCTTGCATTTATCTATTGGTTTTCAATAGCTCAAACATATATATAAAAAATAGCTAAATTGAAGTATATCCTATCCTCATCGTAAAAAAGAATGTAAATATTGACCAATATCTGATGTTGTAGTATGCTTATAAAAAACAAGTAAATCTTTGCAGCCTAGAACATAACCTTTGTGTCCAAGGCCCACCCAACCATCCATCAAGTCTCATTCTTCCATTTCAACCATCCAAATCTTTTTAAAAAATAATAAAAAGTCAGGACTGCATACAAATTTTATATCAGTTGTCCAAAATGGGTGGTCTAAACTAAGAATAAAAATAGTAATTTTTTGGTCCATGGTGTCTTGTGTCTACTACTCGATGCACATAAAGTATGTCCTTAACACTGTTGTTAAGAATTACATGGAAAATAACCTAATCAAAGCATTCACTAAACCGAATCATTGCTCAAGAAGAAGAGAAATTATTATGCTTGTTTACAAAGGATTGGTATACATCCTGTGCTAAACCCTTCACAGAAGCAAGAAAAAGTAGAGAGCAAGTTGTTTTAGTGGACAGTAAGATTCTATCCATCGTCCTCTCACTCCCCACTCCAAACCACCTTAATCCATATATATATATATATATATATATATATAGAGAGAGAGAGAGAGAGAGAGAGAGAGAGAGAGAGACTGTAATCTACATCTCGCAGAGAAGAAGAAGAATGCAGTTCGTAGCTCAAGATCAGGCATAGCCACAACTACCATACTCGCATCGCAACCCCGGCTGGCACACGGTGCCGCACTTGCCGCAGTTGTTGACGTCGTAGGCCACGGCGGTGCACTTCCCCTTGCAGCACAACTGCCCGAAGCCGCACCGGACGCCGCAGGCGCCGCAGTTGTTGCGGTCGCTGAGCACGTTGCGGCAGTGCTTCTTGCAGCAGTAGAGGAGCTGCGTGCCGTCCTTGGCCTGCAACCCTGAGCATCTGTTGTTGGTGACCGGGTCGCACTGGTCGCCCTTCTTCACGGCCTCCTGCTCCAGGAATCGACTCCGTGCACGCGGATCCCTGACCTCAGCCGCGTCGCTACGTCGTGGTGTGACCGACGCGAGCGCGAGCAGGAGAAGGGTGATGAGCAGACGCCGGGGAGAGAGGCAGGTGGTGGCCATTCTCTCCTCCTCTCTCTCTCCCTCTTGCTCGAGTGAGGTAAGGGTTACATATCTCGGTATATGAACGAGAGGAACGGCATAAAGAAACCATGCATTCACGTCCACAACCCACGACCTCACATCCCATGGTCTCGCCGCCGTTGGTCTACACTGCCAGCTTTGGCTCCTAGAAATGCGAGCTCATTAAGAGGAAGCACATGAGGCAGTTTTCGCTGGTCGCACTTGCACAACCTCGCTTCAAGTCAAAAGAGTATTCACAAAGTGCAAGCATCGAGATCAGAAACATTAATTGATAGATCTGATGGGATGGTGACTTAGTATCATTATGGAAAATGAGGTTTGCTTGACGATGACTCTGATGCTGTTCTTGGTACTACAAATGTGATCCACTTTTCCGGCGGGAATAGCGTGGTCTTGGATCGGGGAAGGGGATATGTTGACATTTTCTTCTTCGGATCATTAAATTCGGGGATTGGGATTGGTGGTTTTGCAATGAGGACGCGGTTAACGAAAGATATAGTGGATTCTACGACGTGTTGTGACAGTGTTAGGGCCACAGCACAAGTTGCAAGGTCATTTGAGTTCTCGAAATAGATGAAAGTGTTGATAGATAGATATGTAGGGTTCTGAAAACCTGGGCATTAGAGAGTAAAGGAGTAGGTCTTGCTCAAGCTTGATGATGATGATGATGATGATGATTACAGACATTTAAGTTCAAGGAGAATAGGCTGGTCATTCAAGATCATGAACTGCTGGTTAGTCTCAGAAAGCTTAGCTTGAAGAGTAAAGAAGCTGACTAAAAAAGCAAATTAAAGCTCAAGATTTGTATGATTTGACATGTAATTGCAAGTAGTAGCGTATAGAATATTACCAACCCAAGATCTATAATCACGCGAGAAGAAGCAACCAAGTCAGAAAATATACAACCCTAAAAGAATAAGCAACAAAGTTGGAATGAAAAAGGAAAAAACCTATTACTGAAGTTTCCAAGAAAACTTATAAGAACTTAATATCACCAAACTTCGGTACTATAGATTTGATTATTCTGAACTTAGTTGATCACACAACTACATATCATTTTTTCTATATGAACTTGGCTAAGTTCAAAGCTCAAGTTATCTATAAGCTTAATTACATTAGATGGCCAGTTGCTTGTATGAGATGTAGCTTGACTAGATTTATATTTCTTTCTTAGTGACTTTACATAGAACAATCTATGTCACAAAGTCTAACTAACCGTCAAAATCCTAAAAACCATGAAAGGACATTAACCATCTAATTTGTGAAACATTTTGGCTAGTGAAGTTTCTTTTGGGGATAAATAGAAACTTAAAGGACAATGGAGGTTTATTTGTAAGCTTCATTGTTATCACATGACTTATTCGTCTACAGCCAACTTGAGTAATCGGAGTAATCGTTCCTCTCTCTCTCTCTCTCTCTCTCTCTCTCTCTCTCTCTTGACAATCAACCTCTTGATACTACGTTCAAGGTCCTAAATAAATAGGCCTGAGACAACTGGTAAAGACCAATATATATGATTGAGCACTAATATAATCCAAAAGTTTAAATGCTAAGTTGTCATGGGACTCTTGCAATTTATAGTAATGTGTGCCTATTTTAAACTCTCTTGTGATCTTCATTTCACATATTAATATTTTTCTAAAAAATAAAATACCCATCCAAATTAAGCCAATTATTAAAAATCCATATGATACGACAACTAAAGCATGCAATAAAAAAATGGTGTAGAGAAAGCATCTTTAAGACGCTGAGAAACAACATGAAGGGTGGTAGCAAGCAAGTCTATTAGATGTTGCTGTCTGACACCTATATGACCTTTTCTCTTGTCCTTGTACTGCTGAACTCAGTCATCATTCGAAAACTCCTCTCAGATCTTAAACTATGAATATTTGATTTACTTAGTGCAAGGATCAAGCATGCCAATTCAAAAATCTCCCCCGGTTGACCTTTGAGCTTCTAAGATACAGCTTGAGGAATTTTTATAGGAAACCTTGAAGTTTTAGTCTCTCTCACCTTGACGAAACTGCTAATATGACTTCAGCATTAGAAAGTTAATAACTCAGAACCAGACTCTGTCTCCCAAATCTCTAATCTTTTGATATTATTTTAGAGTTTACTTTGAAGGAGATTCTGAGCAAATCCCTTCAGCCATGCATCACTTATTGTTCAAATGAGATACATTGGCATATAGCCCCACAAACTCCAAACGCATAGATAGATAGAGAGAGAGAGAGAGAGAGAGAGAGAGAGAGAGAGAGAGAGAGAGAGAGAACTAA